CTCGCCGGTCGCCGCCGCCTCGGGATCGGCCACAGGCTCGGGTTGCGGCGAGAGACGCTCCAGCAGCCCGCTGCCGGCGCTCGCGCCCGAGCCTGTTCACGCGAGAGACGTGTCCAGAAAGATTCAGGCTGTGCACGCCGGCGGCGCTGTCCCACGGCCTGCGGCTCTCTGGCGGCGGGCGGCCTCGCTCGCTGGGCTGGCTCCGGCCGGCGGCAGCAGAGGCGGCGTGGCGGTCCGTCGGTACCAGACAAAGTGCTGCAGCAAGAAGAGGCCTATGGCGCAATCGTGTCACGCTCGTTGTGGCGCCGGGAGGCGCTGCGGCGGGCGAGGGGAGGGGCGGGCGGGGGCATGCCCGTGTGTACTAGCCCCTTCGTTCGTGTGTACTAGCCCCCCCCGAGTTCTCGAGTGCGCTAGCTTGAGGATGGGTCAGCTGGTCGGGGCATCTAGACAGAGGTGTCCGTCGTAGACGATCGACACGAGCCCGAGCCCAAACTTGACCGGGTCCCCGCTCACCTGCGAGAGAGAGGGGTGGGTCATAGCCAGAGAAGTGCGCGGGTCGTACACTAGAGCGGCCCTCCGCTCGCCGCGCTCCAGTCGTCCGAGCACCCCGCGTCGAGCAACAGCTGCCTGAACAGAAAGATGCGCGGGTTCGACAGAGAGGGTGTGAAGAGCAGCCCGCGTCGAGCCGCCGCTGCGTCAGCGAGAGCAAGCCGCCGCACAGGTCGAGGCACACCTAAACGAGAAGGGCGCGAGGCATAAGTGGAAAGCCGCGACCCTCCGCCGCGCAAGTCGAGGCAAACGTTGTCGATCGACCAGCCGGCAGTCGAGCGGCGGCGCGCCTAGGACGGTTGAGAGGAGGTTCAGAGAGGGCACAGAGAAGGTCCGGAGAGGACCAGCCGGCAGTCGAGCGGCGGCGCGCGTTCAGCAGCAGCTGCGGCAGGTACTTGACCAGCGTCACGCCCAGCTTGACCGCGGCGAGCGCGTTGAGGTACGCCAGCCAGTCGAGCCACCGTATCGGGCGAGCCTACAGCAAGGCTC